AGTCACTAGTGCAAGGGAGACAAACATGACACAAGGCCACTGGGGCCTATTTTTCCGAAGCAATTGTTCTTCCCAGAGAATGGGGCCGCTGCGGGCTGTCTAGGAGTCTTCTCCAGCAGAGCGACAAAGACAAAGCAGTTCAGGCTGCTGAGCGGTCCAGAAATAAGTATGAGTATGTGTATTTCAAGTAAGAGTGACTATAGGAGCTAGGGATTTAGGGTAAGACTTCCTGGAAAAGGCTCAGCTAGAGTAGGAAGCAGGTCTGAGGTGAGAGGAAGGTGTTCCAGTGATGCAGGAGCGAGGGATTCATGTGGCCTTTTCTCTAGGTCTTTTACATTTCAAAGGAGGTTGCTTTTATTTTTGGTTGTTTGGTTTTTATTATTGTTGTCATTGTGAAAGCAAGAATGTTTATTACAGAAAAATCCCAAATACTGATAGGCCAATGGACTTTTTATCTTAGAGTTGCTTTTAAAAGTGAAAACTTGTAAACGACTCAAATAAATGACCATACAATAGGGAATGATTGAATAAATTATGATAGATCCATACAGTGGACTGTTGTATAGCTGTGAAAAAGAATGGACAGATCTATGAGCACTGAGATGAAAGTGATACAGTAAAACAAGTTGAACAAATGTGTGAATGGTATCATTTGTTTAAATATGTGTGTATATAAAATGTGTGTGTGTGTGTGCATGTGTGTGTCTATAATGTGTAGGAAAAAGGAGGGAGACAGACAACAGACTACTAACAATATTTACCTCTTGGAGATGGGGTTGGGGAAGGGCAGAGAAGAATCTTCACTTTCCACTTTAGAAATGACTGTATAGTTTCTATTTTCCTTACAATAATTGGATATTTCTTCAATAATGAAAACATTTTTAGAGGTAGCCTTAAGTTTGCCAGAAAATTGAGACTTTTGGAACATTTCATCCCAAACCTTGCAATTTATCTGCTTAATAGTCTAATTGATTTTCTACTATTTCCTATTACAGTCATAAAGTTTTATTTACTTCAGGAAATGGGAACTGGCTGGTTCGCTTTTTTAAATTAGTTATAAAATTTGTTCAACTACAAGAGAGTTAAGCCAATGTGTCCTTCCTTTGTGCTCTCATAAGGATCTGTACACACCTCTGCTTAGCTGGGACTCTGTTCTGTCACAGTTATATGTGAACATGCCCGTCCTCAACCCTAAACTTCTCTAAACTCCTTGAAGAAAGGGACTTGTTTTCTCATTCCCATATCCCCAGCACCCAGCGCAATATTTAGACTAGATGTTCAATAACTTTCAATAAAATGGATGCATAAACTAATGAAAGAAAATATTGTAATAACTTTCTCTAGTCCAAAAAAAAATGTTTCTGTGGCTGGGAAAATGTTAAAAGGAAAAATAATGTATTAATGAGACAATTGGAGTGCTGTTGTGAAGAGCCTATTGTGATATTACTATGATATGATCGCTCTTACACTTTCTTGCAAATAACCAGATAATTGATCATAGCATTAGTTGCAATATTAGTCAAAAGTCCCTTGTTGCTATTCACAGAACGTCTAATTTAAATGTCTTAAGGAAATGAGAAATTTATTAGCTCATAGAACTCACAAAATCTGAAGGGTAAAATCTGGCTTCAAGGATGACTATTAAAGAGCTCAGATGAGGTTAAAAGAACTCCATCTCTACCCCTCAGTTCGTCTTCCTTCTCAGGCTGACTTTCTCTGTGTGGTTGCAAATAGCCACTACCAACTCCAGATTTCTGTCCTACCACCTTCAAGTCCAACAGAAAGAGGACTTCTTTGACCTAAGACTTCTAAAAGAAGTATGTCCTGGAATTGAGTTTCAATCCTGGGTGGCCTAACTTGGGTTCTGTGCTCAGCACATGGCCATGGGAACGGGAGGTCCTGATTGTCCAGGCCTGAGCCACATGACCATCCCTCCATCAGGGATAGAGTCAACTCTACCTGAACTCCACCTGTGCTGGGAGTGAGGAAGAGGTGATGCCCCCAAAGGAATTATAGAATAGATACCTGAGGAAGAGGGAATGGGAAGACAAAGCAGCACATACCCACCATAGTTAGTGCTTGAAGCTGCCCTGTAGTGCGTGTCCATAGCAACCTGTACTGCAAGTCAGAGAAGTGTGAATGTTGTGAGAATTTACATCCTTGTTAGATAGCAATCATAGAATCGTTCTTGTTCCCCAATTTGTGTCATGGGCCAGATCAGCTTCTCTTTAGGAACAAGCCACGGCTGGGATCATAAACTAAACATTCTGGTAAGACTGATATGAAAATTGGTAGGATCTTCTTGGAGAGCAGTATTGAAATATGAATAAAGAGCCTTAAAATGTTCATACTCTTTGACCTAGTAATTCCGCTTCTTGGAATCTATCATTAAAAAAAAAGTTAAAATATATTGAAAGCTTCCTGAATAAAGATGTTCATTGCAATGTTATTGAAAATTGTCAAAATTTTTAAAAGATTAGAAATAACCTAAAGTCTTAATAATAGAATATGAAGTAAATTATAAATTACACATATTATTATATTTTATGCAACCCTTAAAATAGTGTCAAAGAATTATGTTGGTAAATGATGTTACACGAGGAAAATGATATTAAGTTTACCATGATCTCTTCAATATCAAAAAAAATCCACATAATTTCTTGTTTTCATGATTACATGCTTCCAAAAACATGCAATGTTTTATTACAAAAGTAAAAATGTTATACAAGAAATTAGACCTGGTTAGTGGTTAGTACGTCCAGATACACTCAGGAAAGATTTTGAAGACGGGCCAATTTATTAGTTTTATATGGTCCAGCTGCAGAATTTATGGCAAATAGTAAATCCAATCCAACTTGTCAATGATGATAAGTAAAAAGTCACTTACATTAGGCTGATGATTTTCCAGCTGCAGCTCGAGAGTAGATGGCATTTCAAGCACCTTTACAGAAGAGGTGCCAACTGAACCAGGGAGAACCAGAATGGCCCAGAGCTGGGTTTGGTTTTAAATTCTGTTTGCACTCAGCAGTTACAGAACTGTGTGACCTTCAATCCTGGTGGAGCTCATTTTGCAATATATACGTGTCAAATCATCACATTGTATACCTTAAACTTACGCAATGCTATATGTCAATTACATCTCAATAAAGCTGGAAAAAAACATTGTGAGTAACCCTGACCAAGGAGTGATTCAGCATGCCACTCATCCTCTTGAATTTAAGAGTTTAGAGCCTTCCAACCCATCCAATAGAACTACCACTCCTTAAGTTAGTAGCTCAGAAGCTGTTAGTTAAGAAACAACCACTTACAGGTGCCCTAAGGAGCAAACGGCTAACCACCCTTTAAAACTACTTAAAAATTTTGGAGACAGCTAGCATTGAGATATTAAAATTTACCATGTAAACTTTTGGCTTGAGAAAGAAATTATAGATCCTCATTGTGTTTTTGTTCTTTGCTTCCCGTGGTGTTTCTTAATTATCGGTTGGTATAAACAAAGACTCTCAACGCTGTGATACTGGTAGGACTGTTTGCGATTGGTAGGACCTTCAATAACAAAAATGAAAATACTTTATTTTTGTTATTGGAGGTGGTTCAGCTCAAACTCTCTGGGTAAGTGATTACGAAACCAACCCAAACTGCTTTAAGCAAATAAGGATAATTAATGCCCTAATTAGCTGAAAAGTCCATAGGCAAAGGCATGGCATGATGAAGTGACTCCAGTGGAATCACTGGAAAACATTTCTTTTTCTCCAGGGTTCAAGTCTAATTCTCTCAGTAGACTGGTTTCGTTCTCAGACAGACTTCCCTCACCCCACCACTGCTGTGTCATGAGATGGCTCATCTAGCTCCCTGGCTAAATGCTTCCAGGTTCACACCACCAAGAAACAGAGCTTCCTTCTCCCAACTGTCAATCACAGGTCCTGACCTGGACTCGTCGTGGTGCCCCTGGGATGGCATGCACTTATTGGCTTCTTCTCATCAGGGTTCATTCCAAAAGGGCCAGAGTGGAGGGTGGAGAAAGTCATCCAACCCAAACCACATGGGCAGAGGAGAAGTGATGGGTAGGTCCCCAAAGGAAATGTGGGGGCCTGCCTTACCAGAAGAAGAACAGCATGCTGGTCGTCCAAGACAAGCAAATCCACCCAGGATGACAACTTAAATGCGGGGGTTGTTGCCTACCAACCGCTGCACTCTTCTTCATCTTAGGATCAGGCCCCTTGGTTAGTTGTTTTGAGTATTTAAACATGGTAGCAAAATATCTGTCAAATATTCAAATGAAAAACTTATGTCTATTGAGAGGCAATAGTGGAATATTGCTTGTGTTAAATTTATCAGATCATGGCTGGATTAAAATGCATCTTCCAAAGTTAACATGACATGAAGGACTAAACTGACTAAAAATGACATTAAAGAAGTGCAGTACAAGTGACTCTAAACCTCAGCTGGTATTTTTTCACCTGTAAAATGGGAATAATAAATGCAATTTGACACGCTTGTTGGAAAGATTAATGACAATGATTTCTGTAAAGTCCAGTAATCCAATGCCCGGCCCATCAGATTATTCAGTAAACATGAGTTCCTAAAGCTGCCATCTTTGTCCTAATCTCCTTATCAAACTTAGCCTCATTTCCAGATCAGTTTCATGAGGTTGCTGTGAAATGACATGTAATTTCACCATGACGTATAAACATCAAACATGCAATGTATGCCCAAACCTTGGAAATGAAACATTCTGGAACGTATCAAGCATCCCCTTAAATAAGGACAGAAAATAGATTCCATCCCCACAGCCAACCCCAGTCTATGAATAGTGACTGTCTTTATCGGAGCGATTCCAAAGGCTCATATATAAGAATAGGTAAAATTGCCATGACTGATTAAAGATGCCTGCCCTAGATGGACGAGGGCGTAGAGGCAGCCCGAGCAACGTGCTTGCCACCTATCCAAAGTGTAAACCCAAATCTAAATGCCACCTTCTCTGTTGTGTTTTTGCTTTGTAGACTCTGGAAAATCCCAAGTATGAATTAATCATCGAGGCTCAAGATATGGCCGGACTGGATGTTGGATTAACAGGCACGGCCACAGCCACAATCATGATCGATGACAAAAATGATCACTCGCCAAAATTCACCAAGAAAGAGGTAAACCCCTGCTGAACACCGCCCTTGCGGTCACAGCCACGAGCACAGATCAATATGAATTCCATGTACCACCCCCCCCTCTGGCTCCCTGTTTGCAAAATCAAAACACTCCTTTGTGGAGAGAGGTGGTATTTTGCTGGAATACTTTTTCACATTTTTATCTTTTTTGGGTAAAGCTGAAAATACCAGAGCATTGTGAGAACAAAAGCCTTGAATCTTGTTAAAGTGCACGAGAAAATAACTTTTAATGGCAAAGTGCCTTTTTCATAGTTTTATCAGTGTTATTTAGTGCTGAGTCATGTGAGTCCCATTGTGACTGTAGCATAACAATAACTATTTTTTTCAACAAGTACAGATTGAGAGGCCAGACGGAACAGCAGCAAGAAGGTAAAGCAGATTTTCTTGGCAATAACAAGGTGGCCCGGGAGCTTATAAATAATAACCAAGTTAGCTTGTCTGGGAGAGCCGTTCTTTATTCTCGGCCCCTGTGCTTTCATGACTGTGGATCATAGTTGTCGATTCCCATTTATTCCAGTGGAGCAATATTTGCGGACGAGCTGAGCATCCAAGATTGCATTCAGTTGCTGAATTTGTAACCAAACTAGGAAGTCATTTGCGCTATGCATCTGATGGAAATGTGCTAAGATCATTGTTTTTTGGGGGATCGGGACCAGGGCCAAGGATCTGACGCCCCCTTACTGACCAAGAGCATAGACCCAGTAATGACAGCCCCTACCAATTCCCCAGCCTTTGCTCTGCATCCACCACTACCACGGGGCTCTCCACCTTCCATCTGTTGTCTCATTTGACTGTGTGAGGTTGGTTTCATTAACCACTTTTTACCAATGAGAGAGCTTATTTTAAGCTCAGAGAATCAAGATGACTGCTCCAAGGTCATGGGCAGAAGAAATGGCAGAAACAGGATGTGAACACAGCTCCCCATGAGCCAGGCATTTAACTGCAGCGCAATGCTTCCTTGTTGGCCGTTGATGTTTTCCACCTTCCCAAGGGTTCAGAGAAAAGACTCATGTCTAGATTTGCAGTTGCCACACCCCTCTCTTGAGAGTCCCAAGGCTACCAAAGATGTTTGGGACAGGTGGGCCCTCTCAGCCTCCTGGCTTCCCAGTGACCTCTCCACCTCATCAGCACTGCATGACTCGTTCAGGAGGTGAAATCTCCCCCTCTCCAGTGGTGTCTTGGGCACTCAGGATTCCAACTCAAAACAGCCAAGTCCACAGTCGTTGATGTGGTCCCATTCTGTTGCTCCCGTGACAGTGTTCCTATAACTGCTAATACAGATTGCTCATCATTCCCGTTCTTCTCAAACTGGTGTTCCAAGAAATTAGTTCCACAAGGCACACCATTGTAGGGCAGGGGGGTGGGGGAAATTTCAGGGTCAAACAAATGTGGAGAACATTGAGTTGAATAGTTTGAAAGATTTCTTTTACTGCAGGACTTCTGGGTACCTTTAAAATTATTTGTGTTTCTCTAAGAAGGGTAGGTGTGGGCTGTAGGGTTTCTCAGACTTGTTTGGCCTGGGAAGAATTTTTCCTGGACCGCCTCATCATATCCTATTGAGCTAGTGTTCATGGAGTATTCACTGGGGATATTAGTTTATCTGTAGAATTTCTTGTAAACTTATTTCAAAAAAAGAACTCAAAGCACATTATAATATTCAGGGTAGACATGGTAGTGAAAATAAAAATGAGATAACCCCAATCTAAAATAAGAAAACCTATCAACATTACCAAGTGGGTAAGATTGATTCGTTACTGCAGTGCAGCCCTGAACTGAGCTCCTGCGACTCAGGAGAAAATGAAATGTGTGCCTAGTCATGGACTAAATACTGTGCGCGAGAGACTTTTGTTGTTGTTGTTAATACCACTGAATTTAAGGAAAAATTTAACATAGATCTTCAAGTAAGAGACCCTGAGTAGCAGAATGGAAAATGTATTCACTTGTGGATATTGGCAAAAGCACAAAGATTCTTTCCACATGGACATTGGACAATGAGCTTGGGTTCCCTGCAGGGCAGAGCTGATATCTCAACTTGCATAGAGATATAAGTAATAAAAAGAGAGGAATGGGTAGCTAGCAAGTACATCAAACGTTCTCTTTTAGATACTAGCTGTCCCAAAGGAGTCTTTGTCCAATGTTGGATAAATTAAATTCACCGTTAAATTTTCCAACATGTTCCTGAAAGGCTGATGTTGTTTGTTGTTGCAGAGGGATCCATACATTTTGGATACCAGAATTGCTAGAGGCACTGTAACAGAGACGTGACCAGGTGGGCTCTGGTGCCAGAACTGAAATCTCACTGACCAGCCACAGCACATGAGCGTTAACCCTTTACAGTCTCCTTTCTTCACCTGTTAACGGGGCTGATAATAAAGCCAACTTCATTAGGTTCTTGTGAATGTTAAATGAGCTGTTGATGAAAAGCATTTAGACAGTACTTGTCACCAAGTATTCTCTAGAGGGTTGGTGATGAGGATAGTGGTGATAAGAATGCTGGTAATTAAGAAGGTGGTAGTGAAGACAGTGGTGCTGAGGATGGTGGGATAAAAGCAGTGATGAGGAAAATGGTGATGAAGATGATCATGGCGAGGAAGGTGGTGGTGATGAGCAAGATGAGGATACGATGACAAGGATGTTTCTAAAATTTAAGAGACCAACTGACATTCTTAACTGAATGGTCATCTCCCCCCTATGTTGAAATGCTGCTGTTTTCCTGTAAAGTAATCTATGAACTTGCCCAAGCACTTCAAGACACATGGTTAAGACCCTAGAGTTCTAGGGGAGAAGGAATTCTGGAGGAGAGGTGGCAGAATCTATAAAATGTGTCACTATGTACAAAAGCAACAAAGGCCAACAGAAACCTGTGAGGGGAAAAGGAGAACTGATGAGGACTCAGCCAAGTGTAGTGGCCTCTAGGATGTGGAAGGGGTGGCAAAACAGGATGTACTGAGAATGTATTTCCTGAGAGAGGAAACACAGAGCTTGTGATCTTGAAACTGAAATAACTTCTAGAGATGAAGGTCAAGTTTCAGTCATTCCAGAATGGAAATGGTGGTCATTTGGGTTTGAGGGTGTCTAGAAAGCTGTCCAAGAATATGTTGTCTTGTACAAGTTTCTACATATATTAGGACATTTCCTAGGAAATTCATAGGAATATATGGTTGTTGTTGTTTTAATTCTTTTTGACATGATCTTCCATCTGCATAGAAATGCATTTTTTTAATCTGTTTCAAAGATCTGCTTAAAAGCGAAGTTATGGTTGGCCATAAATAACAGAGACTGAAAATAACACTGTGTTAAATGAGATAAAGGTATAGTTTCTCTCACATAAAAGTCTGTAGGTAGACAGTCCTAGGTCAATATGGTGAAACAGGACATTATCAGTTTCCCAGATTCCTTTTATCTTTCTTTTCTGCTGTCTCCAAAGCTGCTTCATGGTCCAATAGGGTCACTGCAGCACCAGCCATCATGTCCACATCCCAGGAAGAAAGAAGCAGGGAACAAGAAGGGCAAAGGAGGACGTTTCACCTAAGTAAACATCATTTAAAGAGCTTCCCCATAAACTCAAATGACTTCTGCTTGCGTCTCCTTAGCCTCCCTTATCTGTAAGTGAGACTGAGAAATAACTCCAACTATCTTTAGTTGGTATGCTGCAGCTGTTGATAATATAGGGTAACTAAGGAAGGAGATATTTTAAAGGTTATTTTAAAAAGTAAATTCTTAGTGCAAAGTATTTGCTGTTCCCCTTGTGTTTACGTACACTGACTGCAAGCTTGCCGAGAAGAAAGACCCACCCCTCTCTTATTCTCTCTTGGATTCCCAGGAGGCACTCAATAATTCAGGATTTACCAAATGTTTTCTGAAGATAATTTTAAGTTGAGAACAATGTCACTGGATTTGATGAATCAAGATCATACTTAAAATTGCTACTGATACATGAAATCAATTGTCACTCGTTGAGTTGCATGAAAATTTGGCTTGGAAGAGCTAGTCTCCCTACGAAGAGGCTTCTTTGAGTTTTCCTAACAGTTTTTACACATGGCTTTAACTAAACATTAATTTTGCCTTTTCTAGATTGGGTATTTTGAAACGATTTTAGGAAATCTAGTTAAACTCTCCAAACCTAGAGTTTGAAACTTAGGTGAGGATCTCGGTCCCATTTAGATCAAAGTGACGTGTCCATTCCTCTCTCTAAAGTTTTTTTTTTTTAGAAAAGACTTCTGGTTTGTGCCTAGAACATAGTTGATGTTCAACAAATATTGACTGAATAACTCATATTTTCACATAAACCCCAGGTCATGAGGATTATCAAACTCTCTATTAATTTTAAAAGAATGTGTTTGTAAATGATTATAAGATTTAGGGAAAAAAATCAAGTTTTTCTTCATCTATTCAGTCAATTTTCAGATTTTACCTTAAAATCACAATTGGTAATTTAGACAATAACTTAGGATTTTTTTTTTTTGGCTGTTTGATGAATTCCTTCTAAGATAAATGTTTCAATATTTGAGCTATAACATTGCAATACCTGTAATAAAAATGGCACAAAACTTAAAAGGTCCTGTCCTCCAGCTGAAAGATGAGAGACGGATAAATGCTCCAGTTTTCACAAAAGGGTGAAGATAAATGGCATGAGCTGGAAGCCAGCAAGCTGAAACCCAGCCACCAGCAGATATTCAGATCAAGTTATCAAGAGGATGCTGGGGTCCAGTCTCCAATTCCTAAAAGCCAGTATCAGGTCTTCAAGAACCGTGATGTCTCAAGAATCCTATTTTTCTATGGACTATCAGCTTTTATAATAAAAATATTTTATTAGTTAACTGCCTAATTCACCCCATAATACTTTTTCTCTTACAAGTCTGACTGCAAACTCTATGGTCTCTTTTTTATACAATAATTATGTAATATTGTTTTCTATAGAAAGAGAACGAGACTAGTCTAGTCTTTCCCCTAGCAAGGTTGGTAGAAACTTTGCTCTGTAT